AAGGGACTCTGAACGAATGGATAAGAAACTCGCACAAGCGTCATGGGACTTTGCGCCTTGCCAGTGAGTGACCCTCGCAGAATTGGAAAACCCGCGATGCTGTGACCGCCTGGAGACTCTACTTCGTAAGCTTTCCTTTTTGCCTTCTCACAAGTACGGAAGTGTGCGTTTACAAGCTCCAAATTCGATGTAAGTAACTCGTAGCCTTCACAAAGACCGGAAATGGTACATATTGTCAACATACTGTCACGGAATCCTCTCCTTGGAAACAGTGTGGCTTGCGACATCTGGAAACCTCGTCAACCCGGAATATATAAGAAGCTCCTTGTAGGATGAGATGCACTTACTCATCTGATTTCTAGACAGCAGGTAAATAAACAGCGCCATGTGGATTACTGTTGTGCCTTGATAAGTGACTTCCATTACAAATGAAGTAAAAACAGAATAAAGTTTTACATTGCGTTAAAAAAATGGATGAGACCATTTTTGCATTAAGATCAGTGCATCTAAAATATAATTTCAATGTAAGGACATTCGGCATTTCACTAAATCATTGCAGTGATGTTAAATAACTGGTTATAGGAATATTTAGAAGATGTCTGTGTAAGAAGTGACCGCAATCATTACACATCACCTGGCATTCGTAATATGTAACAATGTAGAAATTCGTTCGCGCTATCTGAAATAAAGGCTTTTCTTGAGCTAATGAAATATAAAAAATATTTTTAAGACGATACTGAAAAAAAACAAGCGACAGAAAACTATTGTTTCTTTTCTGAATCGTAAATATTCTGTTTGAGAGACTGCAAGAAGCATCGGGGTTTCTGACCGCGTGGATCGAAGGTTAACTGAAGACCGTTTTTTGTTGCATTTTCAGCACATATCGGATGACAGTATTTACTTCCTCTTTTGAACGATATATGAAGATTTATTGCATCAAATTCCAGGTTTCATCATGCGGACTTTTGGTAAAATAAAAGGAAAAGCGATGTTGTCACTTGTGGTGGCAGTGGTGATGTTGGCAGGACAGGCGCAAGCAGAAGAGCGGATTTCCAGACAAGGTTAGTGCAAGGGTCTTACCTTTTGTTTTGTTATGACCATGACGTGCAGCCGAGGGAGGGAAGGAGAGAGGAAGGAGAGATTAGAGGAAGGAAAGCGTGAATGGGTGAGAGGAAAAAGAAGAGAGGGAGAGGGAGAGAGGAGGAAAGAGAGAGAAAGAGAGAATAGGAGAGAGAGAGAGAGATAAGAGGAAAGAGAGAAGGAAGGAGACAGAGACAAAGTTGAAAGAAAGGAGGGAGTGAATGAGTGAAAGCGTGAATGAAGCGAGTCAGCGAGTGAATGAGTGAGTATGAGCGTAAATGAGTATGAGTGTGGGTGGGTGGGTGTAAGTTTTTGTAAGTGATAATTGGTTTACCCTTGCGTCGGCACGTACACCATTCTCTGTTATTTGCAAGTGAATCTTTCTTTATCTTTAAATTCGTCTGTGTCATTCACGTCACAAAAAGAGAATTGCTAACCGGGAAGTACCGCATTACGTAAAACAACCTTTCAACTAAAAAGCTAAAGAAACAGAATTTCCTATTTCCCTCTATACTCTCTAAGTGCTGACGTCATACATCCAGGTAAGCAACAAGACGGGATTCCCTTAATGCTCAAGTCTAGCTTCACCTGACCGGTTAGCCCACTCCAAATCCATCTTATACGCCACAGCTCTTTTTGTGTGCATTCATAAGATAATGAAAAAATAAATATATATTTTTTTCTTTCTTTGTGTGAGGCAAAATGCACGTCGCACTTTAGACTGGTCTGTCTGGAAAATGTGGTGGTGGGGGTTGGTGGTGAGTGGGGGGGGGCGTAACTCTCCTTTTCTGTTCATGATGTGCTTACAATATTCGGATTGTTATCGTACTCTCTTGTCTACTACGGTATTAATAATATGATACTGTATACTGATTGACAATTACTGATGGATTTTTAAATTCAGTTGTGTGATAATGTTTTCCATAACGCTAATGACATTTCTTTTGATTGCAATTACATATCTTCGAACTTTTGTTAGTCAAAATCACTCGTACACATTTTTTTCCATAACAACAATGCGACCTACTTATGGATTTAACCAACGTTAACGGAATACATCTCTAAAGTACTGTAACACTATTTCTACCATGTCAGGTTTTCTCTTGGAAACCTGCGTGCTCTCACTGACCTGCTTAATACCTTTGCCCTTCAGCGGTGACATGCAGAGCTGGAACGACCTGCATTCAGCTGACCAATTGCCCTCGGCTCCTCTCCTTCCTCAACTTCCCGACGCCGCAGAACATCCAGATCCTGAGAAATAACTTCTGCGGCTTCTCTGGGAGGATTCCGTTGGTAAGTGGGAGATAGGACGTGTTTGGAACCTGTTTGATCCAATGAGAACTGGTTGTGGAGTGAGGGACGCCGTGTGATAATAATGATGGTGGGTCACTGATATACATACTTATGTGTGTGTTTGTGC